CTCCTATAAAAATATGAAAGAATATCTTCATGCCAATAACATAGATGAAAATTTCTTAGATGAGACTCCAATAGCACTAATAATAAAATACAAAAAAATAGACTTTAACATCTTCTGCTCTTGAAGAAAATCACCTTCAGAAAAGCGGCAGACTGGAAAAAAAAATATTTGCAAAGGACTTTTATCTAGAATCTGCAAAGAACTCATACAGTTCAATAATAAAACAAATAATCCAAGAAGAAAATGGAGAAATCACTGGCAAAAGAGATATACTCAGCCAACAAGTTTGTAAGAAGCGGCATCACACAGTCCTCAGAGAAGGGAAATCAAATCACAGGAGACACCACTTTACAGACAGACATCAGTACAGCTAAATTTTAAAAGACAGACAATATTAAGGGTTAGTAAGGATGTGGAACATGCTGGAATGCTCTTACATTGCTTTTGGAAATGTAAAACGGTTCAACTATGTTGAGAAACAATTTGATAGATTCTTATAAAGCTAAAAATACATCTACCCTGCAACTCAGAAATCCCACTCTTGGGTATTTATCCAAGTAAATGAGTACCTATCTCCAGAAAAATTCCTGTGCAGGAATGTTCTTCATAGCTTTATTCTTTAAAAAAAAAATTTTTTTTTTCAACGTTTATTTATTTTTGGGACAGAGAGAGACAGAGCATGAATGGGGGAGGGGCAGAGAGAGAGGGAGACACAGAATCCGAAGCAGGCTCCAGGCTCCGAGCCATCAGCCCAGAGCCTGACGCGGGGCTCGAATTCACGGACCGCGAGATCGTGACCTGGCTGAAGTCGGACGCTTAACCGACTGCGCCACCCAGGCGCCCCTATAGCTTTATTCTTAATAGCGAAAACTGTTATCACCCTCAAAGTCCATCTACAGGTGAACAGGTAAACAGACAGTGATGTAATCTTATAATTGAATACTGCTAGGCAATAAAATGGAACCAACTTCTTTTTTTTTTTTTAATAGTTTATTTATTTATTTTGAGAAAGAGAGAAGGAGAGAGCACGAGCAGTAGAGGGACAGAGCGAGGATCCCAAGCAGGCTCCATGCTGTCAGCGTGGAGCCCGACACAGGGCCCTGTGCCACAGAATCCAAGATCGTGACCTGAGCTGAAATTAAGAGTCAGACGCTTCCACTTGATGGGATGAGCACTGGGTGTTGTATGGAAACCAGTTTGACAATAAATTATATTAAAAAAAAAAAAAAATAAACTGAAATTTGCCACATGAGAAAAAAACAAGACGCTTCACCGACTGAGCCACCCAGGCACCCCAGAACCAACTTCTACACACAACAGCAGAGACAAATCTTAAAAGCATTCTTTGGGGTGAAAGAAGCCAAACCTAAAAGGATACATACTAGTGACTTTTATTTATATGAAGCTCTAAAACAAGCAAAACTAAACCTGTGACTACAGAGTTCAGAACAGTGATTGCCCATGGAAGGAAAGGAGGTGGGGTGGGGTGCGTATTGGCTGAAAAGAGAAGGAAGAAACATTTTGGGGTGATGGAAATGTTTTATATTTTAACTGGCTTGGTAGGAGCGCGGGTAATACGTTTATCAAAACTCAGCTGCACACTGAAAATCTGAGAATCCTGTTGCGTATAAATGATAATTAGAAAAGCTAAAAACCAAAAGCCATGTTTATCCCTCTGGGGTCAGATTGGCTAAGAGATAAGATGGGTCAGGTTCTCCAAGCCAGGAGTCTTGGTTCGATATCCCAAGCTCATATCCTCCCCCCGCAACCACTGCCCGTCTGTGGTCTCCTGAGAAGCTCTCACCTTGGGAAGGGGTCACCTTTGGCTTTGTACCCGTGTCTTCTCCGCCCTTTCTCTAACTGGAGGGCTCCAGCAGCCTATCCCACTGACATGTAGTGAGTGCCTTTCTCTACTTCTGACTTTACACCCGGTTCTTTGATAAAAGCCTCCCTGCTGGAACAATTTCCTTCCTTATGCCCATGAGCGCTCGGAAAATTTGAGGCTGATTTCTCTCAGGGGAACAATCTCCACTTAAAGTCAAAGCCACCAAGGGGCTCCTCTAATCTCAAAAGCATTTGTAGAGCTAAAAGCTGTGTTTTTATTCCCAGGTAACTTTCCCACAATCACTAAGCCTGCCTCAACATCCTTTTACAATGAGTACAGTCAAACAGGCACCATTTTCCTTACATATTTCTGTACCTGTTAAGTGGTCTGGAGTCTTAGTAACAGGATGGCTTATGTCGTCCTGAGGTCGTTGCTTTCCAACACAGAGATGGGATCCGCCCCGCTGTGGATATGAGGACTCTATATTTTGATCATAGACCGCTAAGGCAGCCACTTGCCTTCCCAGCCACTCCGTGAGCGTTTCCTCCTTCACAAACAATCACTAATGATATTTTCTCTCTCGACTGACACCTGCCTTATTAAGAACCTGCTCCACTAAGCAGCCTCACCTGAGCAGGGCCCATGGCCTCCAGCCTGCCTGGGGGCGATCTGAACCCAAGAGAGTGATCATTCAGAGAAGCAGTTCAGCAAATCAGAATTGAGACTCTGGGACTTCTGAATGGTTGTGTCCCTGAGGGGTACGTTATGATCCATATATATTTTCAGTCACCTGATTTGATTGTATTTTTGGATTTTGCTAGTTTTTGTATAATAGAATACAAGGAGCTGTCTTGCTTCAGGCACATGTGGTTTGCATTTTGGAGAGCTCCCTCCTACAGGCAGATGCATTCACACACAGGCTGGGCGAGTGGGGAACTCAGAAAACAAAGTTGTGAGAAGGTCTACTGGCATCCCCCTTGTCAGCTCTGCAGAACAGTGTAGAGGGCAGGGATTCGCAGCTGCCTGCATTTGAAGCAAGAGTTGTGAGGACAGGAAATGCCACCTGGAGTTTGCATGGGAAGAACAGTGAGCAGGGGGAGTTGAAAGATGTCTTGTTATAATTAGAGAAACAGTGGAGCAGACGTGTCCCCCAGACATTCTGCTACCAGGAAACCCAGAGACATTCTGGGAACCTGATTTCCTTGAACTTTTCCCAGGCTGGCAGCTCCAGGGGGTCCAGCCTGTGGCCACGGGAAGACATTAACTGTGTAGCTCAGGCATAAAGAACACAAATTGCTATTTCTGCCCCCACAGTCAAGTTCCAAATGCTCAGCTGGTCTGTAGTTCTTGTGCTCAGTGTCATTGACCAGCATGTGCACAGACCTGTCCTCAACATGTGGCTTTGGTGGTTCTTGCCTGCTGGCCACAGGCCTCACTGCCGTGGCCGGTTGTAACCAGAGAGGGGAAAAGAATAGGGGAACAGATTTTCCATCTACAGAATTGCAGCGTGAAGTCATTGTGGCCAGCCATTGGGCAATACAGAACAATATCAAAAGTAAAGTGCAGGTGTAGAGGTTAGACGGTGTGCATCTGAATCCCAGCTCTGCTTCTTGCTAGCTGTGAGAAACATTGTTGACCTCTCTGAGTCAACTAGTTCTTGCCCTGCGAATTGGAGAAAGTGTATCTTGGTGGTTGTGAGAATCCAAGTAGATAATGGATATAATAAAGTACTCGATGAGGTTTTGGGGTGATGGTGGGGGGTCTGGAGCTGCAACCAAGAAAGTGTTCTTGAAGTCATCATTAGTGCAAAAAGATGATTTTATTAAAGCACAGGACAGGTCCTATGGGCAGAAAAAGCTGCACTAGGGTTGTAAAGAGTGGCTTCTTATATAGTATGGACTTGGGGGAGGTAAAGTCAAAGTCAAAGGGAGGCCTCCAGAGGGACTTTGATATGCTAAAGAAGACTCCTATGACATGTGAGGCCTTGCTATTGTCAAGCTAAGGTTGTTTCCCTCTAGTAAGGCATTAACCTTAGGACTGTAGGGGGTTCCTGGAGAAATGGTATACTCTGTATTTGCCTCAAGTATTTGCCAATGAGCTACAGGTTATGAGGAAACTTAATTTTACCTGCCATTTCCGTCTTGCCTTTGTTCCCCATATCACTGTGGAAGGGTGATGTTAGGGCTCCAGGAAACCGAGTCTATAGGTTTCTGGAGAGTCGGCTATTGATAAGATTGACTTTTTCTTGGGGCGCCTGGGTGGCTCAGTTGGTTAAGCGTCCGACTTCGGCTCAGGTCATGATCTCGTGGTTCTTGAGTTTGAGCCCCGCGTCGGGCTCTGTGCTGACAGCTCAGAGCCTGGAGCCTGCTTCGGATTCTGTGTCTCCCTCTCATTCTGCCCTTCCCCCACTCACACTCTGTCTCTCTCTCTCTCTCAAAAATAAATATTAAAAAAAAAGATTGGCTTTTTCTTGTAATTTACTAAGATATTTGTAAACTGATGGAGACCTATGTCCTGTATGACTGTGATCTCTATCAGCCGTCTGTTTTCTTTCCTTTCCTTTGTCCTTGGGCAGCCAGGAGAGCCTGAGGAATATCACATATATCCAACCTGGAGGAGTGGAGGGTTGTGCTAGCTTGCACTCTGTCCTCAGCTTGCCCCACGCTCCCTCATCATACTCAGCTCTGGGCTTGGCACAGAGTAGCCATGAATAAGTGGTACTCTTAGTTTAACAAATTTAATTTTGAGTCATTACACCCAAGTTTGAGGACCAGCTTTTATTTAATAGCTATGCTACCTTGGGCTACTAATACAGAATCTTTCAAACTTCATTTCCTCACTTGCGTGACAAAAAGAGTAATGCCCAACTCATGAAATTGCCAGCCCTTTGAGAAGCCTTCCCTGATCCCCTGCCTGGTACAGGACTGCTTCCCAGACCATGGTGTGCTCTCCTTAAAGCACAGATTCTGATTCAGTATGTCCTTGATGGGGCACGAGAGCCTGCACTTTGAGCAGCAAGGATATAAAGTTAACATTCCTTTCTGGGGGGTGGGTGGGGGATGTGTGTGTGTGTTTGCCCGTCCTGTGTACCTGCGCATACCTATAAGACAGGCATCACATCTGACTCTCTTCTTCTCGTTCCCCACAAATGGATCCACCTTGTCCAGAACTGGAAACAACTTTCACAGGCAGAAGGTTCTAGCTGCTTCCCTCCTTCCACCTCGAGAGGCTTTGAATCAAGTCACCTGCTGTGACCTGGGAGAGAGAGGCCCAGCTGCATTTGCTGGGAAACCCCACTTTCTACCTTGGATCTCCTCCACTTCCATTCATTCTCCTTGCCTGCAGACTGAGCTTTCTCTTCGCCCGCCCCCCCCCCCCCCCAGCCCATATTGGCCCTCAGAATTCCATCCTGGTCTTTGTGCCCTGGAGCGGGTGTCCATCCATCCGGGTGCCTGCAACACTCCATTAATGCACCCACAGCCGGCCTCCTGGACAGAGAGTAGTCACCTGCCTGACTGCTCAGGAATGACCCTTGTGCCTGCCTTCCTGCATCAGACCTTTGAGCTAGCATGTGGCTTAGCCCTCAGTGCCCCGCAAGAAGCGGGTCTCACCCCTCCATCGGACAGCTCTCACACCTGTGGGGCCCAGCTCCCTTCCCCACACCACTTTCAGACCCCAAGACTCCCCCTCCAAGTGACCCCTCCTACAACTCAGGGTGTGCAGTTACAAACCAGTCACCAGGTTGTCCACAGAATGACTGGAATGGGGGAAGAACTGACTCTTTGCAAGGAAGAGAGGAAGAACAAAAAGAAGAGTTCTGAAACTCACAGAGGTGCCGGAAGGATCTAGGGGTAGATGTGGCAGAGAGAACTGGAAAAGTCCGAGAAAGCTTTCAAACCCAGGCCTGTCAAGGCCCCTCGGGCTCTGACTGCCCCACCACACACTCACATCCTCACACACATCCATCCGCCGTGGGCACGCTGGGCACACGCTCGGCCCCCAGCGCCCGGCACAGGTCAGTCGGCTTCACAGCCCCCTCAGGCCCTGGGGAGCCCCACAGAGCTCCTGTTGGTTTCTATTGTATTCAGGCTTCTCCCTTGCTATCCAGTCCTTCTTGCCTGTATGTTTCTGTCTCTCTCTCTCTATCCCCCTGTCCCCATGTTCTTCCCCTGGGTCCCAGCTCGCCCCTGTCCCCTGTGCCTGTCTCTCCCATCCCCTGTTCCCTCCTCTGTGCCTTCCTCTTCACTCCCTTCACTTTCTAGACTTTTTTCCTCAGGCTCACTCTGTCTCGTTCTGACTTTCCCCTCTGTCTCCAGGGTGCGGGCATACTTCCCAGCTGCCCCTACCCAAACCAGGCTGGAGAGTGAGTGCGGGGAATGGGCCGCTCCTTCCCTCTTTCAGAGCCTGACCATCTGGCCCGACGCCCTGGAGCCGGCCTGCTGAGCTGACCCAGCAGCCTCTGCTTTTTTGGCAGGAGAGGCACCCGGGGCCCTGCCGAGCAGCACCCCTCTGCCTCACCCAGTAGGCAGAAAGCGAGGGTGAGACGGAGCCCGTGGGTGACATCGACAGCTGAGAGGGAGAGACGCAGGCTCTTTTCAGGTATGGCTTTCCGAACCTCACCGTAAGCACAAGCCCCACCTTTGCTGCTGTCTCTCCTGACACAGAACGGCTTGCTTCACCCTCACGGCCTGCACCCAGGGCTTCTCTGGAAGGGGCCCTGTTTCTGCTGTCTTCCCTCTTTCCGAATAATTTACAACGACTGTGTGTTGTCTGTGTAATAAGAAACCGTGTTATGATACCAGTTAAGTGAGTGGGTTGAGCATAGTCCTCCTGGGACCCACCTTTCATGCTAGTTCCAGATTTGGCCAACTCAGAAACAAGAGAACGCAGCACCCGGCGGGCGGATGAAGGCTGTCACCCTGAGGAAAGCCGCACTACACAGAAACAGGCTGTGCCTCTCTTTTGGGCTTAGAGGTTTGTGACCAACATATTAGAAATATGTTAAAGCAAGATTAACTACTAAATGGGTGATCGTCACCTGCCCAGCAATCACGTGGCTACTCTGCTTCTTCCCAGGAAGCTTCTCCATCAGGTATGGGAGAGCCTGTGCCCAGTAGAACACCTGTGCCCAGTAAAACACCAAAATCCTGTGGGCTTTGCAGGTGACATCAAGCACATCAAGGCTGTCCTGCACACGAGGAGCCTTACCTTTGTTTCTCTCATGTGTCAGTTGAGAGGGGGGCAGTGTCTATGGCATTCCCTCCCACTTTCTCTCCCATCGTCCTTCACAGCATCACAAAAACAGAATGCCCAAGTCCCATTCCATTCTCGTGCCTTAGCTGTCTCTTCCATTATCCCACAATTAGCACAGCGATGGGCGATTGGGGCGAGTGGAGTGATATTGCTGTGAGTGACCTATTATTATCTGCAGATTACATTTTACAAGGAAATTAAACGAATTCTGTCAGAGCCCCGGGGCCGGGGAGGAAAGAAAATGCCTCATTGTTCAGTTCTGCGAGCTGGAGAGACTGCACCGGGCGATAAAGAGACCTGTGTTTGTGCAAACAAGGCGTGGGCTTCCAGTTTGAAAGATGCATTTGTTACACCAAAGCTCGAAATAGGAAATATGTGTGGGCAGGCACAATGGAGATGAAAGGGGAGAAAACTAATTATTACTACCACTGCGTATGTGTGTTGGGGTATTTATATAATGTGTTAAACTTCCTTTGCTGGGAAAATGGCTGTCATGTCAGCACGAATGAAACTTTACCCTAAAAGGGGGTATTCTAAGGCCTCGGCGCTGCCAGCTCAGTGGGATTGTGTTTTTGAAATTATCTTCTGCACCTTCCTCTCCTTTTCTTGTGTCTGGTAATGAGTAGCATCTTCGGAGTATCATCTTCTCTTTCTTGTTCATTTTATTCTCTCAATAAGTGTGCCTTTTATTTGTCTTTGTCAGGCAGAGGGCAGGTATCGGTATTACATAAAGAAGGAGTGGGACAATAACACTGTCTGAAGTCACAGTGGTTTGGGCAAACAAAATACAACAGAGAAATCTATAGAAGTCAGAGACTCACAGAGCCTGGCACATAGATGGCACAATCTACTCTAAACCAAGTGCCCCACACTCTGGAGAAACAGATGGAGATGGAGGGACCTGATCCTCTGGGGAAAGGATCTGAGTCTTGACCAGGGATCATGGGTTTTTTTCTTTTCTTTTATTTTTCTTTCATTTTTTTAATGTTAATTTTGAGAGAGAGTGAGCTCGCGTGAGTGGGGGAGGGGCAGAGAAAGAGAGACAGAATCTGAAACAAACTCCAGGCTGGAAGCTGTCAGCACAAAGCCCAATGCAAGGCTCAAACTCGGGAACGGCGAGATCATGACGTGAGCTGAAGTGAGACACCTAATCTACTGAGCCACCCAAGCGCCCCAATGATCATGTTTTCTTAATTGTGCAAAGAGATGCACACATCCAAAGCAGCCCCATGAAAGGTCTCTTCAGGTTCTGATATTCACCCTCGGTTAGTACCTTGACACATTCATCTGGTCCAACTTTGTGATGCAATTTGCCATTAATGAGGCATTGTGTTGGGTGTTGGAGAGGATTTCTATTTAAATTTGTGGACAATGCATAGAACCAGTTGTCTAAATCCTAAACAAAACTTTTCTACCAAGCATCCAATAAAAACCCTTCCCCCTGCCATTGTGAGGGCCATGTTCTCAAGAGTATGAAGTCTATTAACATCTCTCCATGCCTGTGATCTTGTGTCTGAAATAGGAGCAGACTGACTGTGTTTGGAAACTCAACTTTAAGTCATAAGCAAGAGGGTTTAGTAGCTCTGGAACAAGCCTGCAGCTGAGCCGTGAGAATTGTGTGGTGGGGGTCCTCTACATATGTTTGAATAATGACAGTAAAAACCAGGTTCATGAGCTTATCTTTTTAGTCAAGGGGTGCCACAGACACAATGAATAATTTGTTGTGTGTGTGTGTTTTTTTTTCCTTTTGGATTTTCTGGTACATACTGAATCATGAACAGTATAACAAATGGGGATCGTAAAGAGAAGAAAATCCTTTTCTATACACTGTAGAAATGATGGTGCTCATGTGTACTTCAGCCATGAGGGGACTGAGTCTTCATAGGAAATTGCTGAAATGTTGCACTAAACGCTCAAGGAAGAATGTAGTCCCTTTTCACATTTGCGTGTATCACAGTCTCCAATGGAAATTGTGAAGTATTAACATGTCCACCCATCCCTCCTATCCACCCAGTCTGATTCAGGGGGTTGGGCTGGGCCCAGAGAATCAGTGTGCTTAACAAACAACCAGGTGACCTTAACACCTGTTCTTAGGCCAAGCTGAGGGAAACACTGGCGCTGGACTAAATACTCAGATTCTGACCCTGTTAAGTAGTTGCTTAACTGTATTAAAGTTCCTGAAACACTTAACGCATTTCCCATTGAAATCCAATGGCAGACAATGGCCATGAAGATTGAAAGGTATAAAGCACCTGTGTCAAACTTGATTTATATTGTGTGCTTCATAATAATTACTTTTATCACCTCCACTTCAGTGAGAAGGGTGGAGGTTCCGGGGTATAGATAATGCTCATTGACCGTTTGGAAACTCTCATACTCTGTAACAGCAGAAATGCATGGGGTTCTGAGTCTCCCCTCAAAATGTTAAAAAACCAAGACATGGACCTGGAATGGAGCTTCTAACTTAGTAAAGCTGAAGACGAGGATCAGGACACACTGACAGAGGATGGTGAGAAAACTCTTCAAAAGCAAGAAATTCTAGCAGCCTTTTACAAGATTTTGGGTGGCCTATTGTGCCCATTTAAAGAGGCTAAAGGAGGGTAACCACAAGTTTTGTGGAGGCTGCGAAGACTCTAGATGACTACACATGCAGACCATCATGAACTCCAGAAAGATCTTACTTGTGAACCAGCCCTGATACATGCCTTTTTTTCCCGGTATTAGTCATACTTAATTATTAGTTAACTTTCCTAGAATACTTCTAGAAACGTCTATATATGTTAAGTTTGAGTCAATAATTTGTTCCCAAATGAGTGCTAATGAAAAAAATACTATGAGTTGACATTCATCTTTGCAACTAGCACATTCCAGAATAAAAACTTGCAGTTTTGATATGTGAAGAAACTAAGAGATGAAAATTATATTTATGGTTTTATAGCATATATTATATTGATGGTTTTAAGATTCTTTCATTGGTCCAACCCCTTCAAATCACTTTATAATTAATTTGCCCAGCTTGGCATTAAAGTTGTTGATGTTATAAATATGTCTTTTCATTAACTTCATTGTCTCCAAAATTTCACAACATGCTTTTCAGATGCTTCTAGCTATCCATTTGGGATAGGCATACCATTTACAATGAGATATTTCTTTACATTCTGGAACAGAATGGCAAATTTCATGTAATATAAATTTCCATGGAAGAATAAAAAGCTTAATACTTTATTTCATTTTAAAATAGACATTGGAATAGGTAAAGAACCTGGAGTCTCCCAGGTGATAAGAGACATTTCATAATACAAGGCCCCAAATGTAGGCCAGTCTGATTCATCTCTGGACTCTCGATCCATTCTTTCATTTTTTAAGGCTTTATTTAGACATAATTTACATACTATGTAGTTCACCCATTTAAAGTGCACAATTCAATAAGTTTTAGTACAGAACTGCGCACCATTAGTACAGTCTAATTTTAGAACATAGTTATCACCTTCCTAAAGAAACCCCATGGCCATTAGCTGTCTCTCCCCATTATCTCTCCAAGCCTACGACAACCATTCATCTATTTTCTGTCTCCGTGGGTTCACCATTGTGGACATTTTGTATAAACGGAACCATACAATGAGTGGGCTATCTGAGTTTACTCTTAGCATAATGTTTTTATGTTCATCCAGACTGTAGCACGCATCAGAACTTCCTTGTTACTGCTTTTTTATCAAATGAGTTGATCACATTTTATTTATTCATTCGTGTTTGAACCTTTGATTGTTTCCACTTATTGGCTTTGTGAATATGTTATTATGAACATTTGTGTGCAAATTTTTGTCTGGGTACATGTATTCACCTACGTGTACATCTAGGGATGAATTTGTTGGGTCATAGGACAACTCTACGTTTACCGGTGTAAGGGATATGGCAAAACTGTTTTCTAAAGCAGCTGCATCACTTCACCCTCCACCAGCATTGGATAAGAGTTCCAATTTCTCCACCTTTGTGCCAACACTTCTTTTTTTTTTTTTAATTTTTTTTTCAACGTTTTATTTATTTTTGCGACACAGAGAGAGCATGAACGGGGGAGGGGCAGAGAGAGGGAGACACAGAATCACAGAATCGGAAACAGGCTCCAGGCTCTGAGCCATCAGCCCAGAGCCCGACGCGGGGCTCGAACTCACGAACCGCGAGATCGTGACCTGGCTGAAGTCGGACGCTTAACCGACTGCGCCACCCAGGCGCCCCTTTGTGCCAACACTTCTTATGAGCTTTTCTATGATAATCATTCTACTGGGTAGGAAGCAGAATCTCATTGTGGTTTTGATTTGCATTTCCCTAGTGACTAACAATATTGCATA